CCCCCCCCATTGACCTCAATCCCCGTCTCCACCGTTCTGTAACAATCCACAACACTAGCTCAAACTATGCTACGTTTAGCTAACACAAATAGCCATCTATAACGACCCCGCCCCTCGATACTTCCCAGTGTACCCAAATAAACGCCAGTGCTCTGTCGGGACTCCGCCTCCCTCATCAGACTGTTTAGCAAACATTGTGATAGTTTTTTTAGGTTGATCCGCGCGTGACATTTATGTTACGATTTGCGAATATTTGGGCTTTTCTACCCGCCAGTCTACTAGAATCTAGCACTAATCTTCCCTACGCCAAAACAGGCACCCCCCCCCCCTTTTTTTTTTTCCTCCCCACCCGTAACTTCCAACCCTACCCAATTCATTTTGTCTTCTCAACCGACCTCCCCCAACCCATGCACAGTTTTGTTTATGTTTTTTGTTGCTGGTTTTTGGGGTTTTTTGGTAGTTTTTTTTCGGTTTTTTTTTTTTTGGGGGGGGGGCTACCTATTAAACAACGACTTCTGGTGTGTCCTTTACCTCCGGTCCCAGAGCTTGAGTGGAGTATTGCTTTTATTTCTTTGATATAAGACATCTCCACAAATACTTTTGGCAGTTGATTCACTTGTGGTAATCGATTAAATTATCATGTTTCGTGCATTCCTCATACTGTTTCTAAAGTAATCTCGTCAAACAATTACTATTCGTGAAAACATTTTGTTAATTGTTTAGCTTCTGTCTAACAAAAAAAAGAAAGTAATGAAATCATTTAAGTTATCTATGTAGTCATCGATCCTTTGTTTGGTTTCAGCTGTCTGCCTTCTTTATACCTATCTGCCCAATGTGAAAATATTAGGCCTATTTATTACCTGAAAAATTTTGTATGATTTTTTTCCCCAGAATTTTACGAAATAAAATTAGTGCCCTTTGGTGTATTCCTGTCTCAGAATTTTGCTGCAGAGGTGACGTCATTTAATCATTTCCTCGCATGTCGCTTTATCCGTCTGTTCGCCATCCTGTACTCTGTCACACTGACATCCTTTACTGCGTAGTTACGTTTCCCAGGAGGAAAACTCCTGTTCTTACCAAATATTCGACGCCTGTTCTATTGCCTTTGAATATTCTTCTCACCTCAAATCCCAACCTAACACCCTTCGCATCTCGAAGAAATTGCTTGCTGTGAATTTCGGGTCTCGGCTTCCAGTATTTTTAGCGTCCGAAATGAAAAGAGCAGCCCATGTGTAAACCGGCCACAGAGCATTGCCAAATCTAAAGCCTGTCCCCTTCTATTTAACCTGCAGCCAATCAAAATGAAGCTGAGGTCTCCACAGAAGGCCAAAATACCCCAGAAAATCGAAATCTTGATGAAGATTTTCAAGTTAATCTTTTGTAACAGCAATGATGATAATGACAGTTCGTCTCTCGACTAAATTCAACGTCTCGGTCGTGTAAAACCATAAAGAAGTTCTCTTTTATTTTGGCTTTATGTGGGTATCATCATTATAGACAGAGTATTCATTCAGCCCCTCAAAAATGTCAACAATTTGCCAAATTATGACACATACTGAAATAACTTTTCCAGTTCTTGCTAGATGCCTAGAGAATAGGACTGAAATGAGAACATTCAAATTTGTGTTTCGTTGAAATATGTTCTTTTTATTTTACCAGGAATGTCTTTTTTTTCTCCTGCTGTCCCAGTTGAGACTAAGTTCTATGACTTGTTATTTAACCTTCATTGTGTCTAGTAAGGCGTCCTATCAAAAAGAGCGAAGAAACAAAACCCTTTCTCATCTGTCACACTGCTTAATCGTCCACAGGAATGGACTGATGAGAAACTCAAATGGAACAAAAGTCTACACAACGACATTGGGATATTGCGCATGCCCTGTGATTTCATCTGGCTTCCGGATATTGTTCTTTACAACAGGTCAGTATTTGTGAAAGTAGAAAAAATGCCATAACAGGGACTGCCTCTATATTGGTTTGTATACTATGGTATGCACACTCACAAGCGTGACACGTTATTCTTTTTTATTGCGTCAAATGTGCATATACAATGCTCGCACCTGGCCGCAGAAATAAGTTAAAGGTCGTGGGTACATCGTTTTGGGGTTGTTTTTCTTAAAACAGAGTGATATATTTACAGGAACATTTATGTTGTGGTTGTTTTGTTGTTGTTGTTGTTGTTGTTGTTGTTGTTGTTGTTGTTGTTGGTTGTTGTTGTTTTCAATCCCTTGCCCATTAAGTGGGCTATTTGATTTTTATTTTTTTAAAGTGCATATAATAGTGTCCAATAGTGTATTACGTGCAGGCTTCGTATAACAAGTAACTGTTACAGCAGATAGCGATTCCAGGATTATAGAAGTAAGTCATTGATCTGAGAGCGGAGATGGTTTTAGAAATAATGGTGGTTATGAGTGATGAGGTGGGATTGCGTTTAAGTAATGTTAGCGTTATTCCTATCTTCCTCTGCTCCAATGAGTCATGAGGGACGTGGACACCCTCTATCCCGTTCCCTACTGGAACCATCTTTACGGTCACCGTGAAGTTCCGAATGGTGGGCACAGTCTCTGTTAAGGTGGCATTGTTAGTGTTAGCCTATTCTATCAGGCCAAGACATGTGTTGAGAGGAGGTAAAGTGGGAAGACAGTATAGTGGAAGGTATGTTGGGGTATTTGTAAGCGGGTTGTAGGTAGCAAGTTGGCAAACAGACTATGCTCTTTAAAAATGCAGCATTTTACTCCCTGATCATTAGACCCGAGTATTCTTTTCGAGTCATATTAAGCTTGCGGAGATTCTGACACGGGATCCTTTAACCCAAGTGGAGAGGACACAATTTACAGGAACATTTCTGTTAAAAGAAAATTGTCTAATGACGTAAACTCGGGAAAAAAAGAAATCCAACTGTGTCCTATTATTCTAATTTCGGATATTATTTATCAGTGAATCAGGTGAGTCATGAGTCTCGGCATTAGGCAACATGCCCATCTGTCCGAATGGTTTTGCCAGGATACGATCAGATCAAACCTTTTTCGGACTCCCCGTGAACACATTTATCAGACAGGAGTCCCTGGGGTGGCAAGCGGAACAGATGGTAGACGACCCTCTCCTGGGCGGGACGATAGGTTATCTCCCTTGCAAGTAAGATCCATAGATAGTTATTCACGGGGAAAATCATTTTCTTTCATTTGTGTGCGTGTGTATTTATGTATGTGTGTGTGTGTGTGTGTGTGTGTGTGTGTGTGTGTGTGTGTGTGTGTGT